GATAACAAGAACATAACATTACATATTGAGGACTTGTCCGACAACAAAAATAGGTGCTATCCCAACATAACTCGTTTTGCAATTAAGTAATAGCGACGTCACAATGCTAATAACCTATCTTCGGGGTAAAGTACGTATACACCACTGTGTATAGATTAAAACTTTGCACCTTCCCACTCCATTGACTGTAACAGACGTCAGTCAAAGGTCGTATTCAATAAAGTTTCGTTCTAATATATGAATTACTTCCTTATTGCATTCTCAGAGGATTAAGTAAAAAGATTGAAAAGAAATATGTCTCAAAATAGATAGAATAAATCAATTTCCTTATGATTACCAAGAGCAGCTACATCATGTTTCATATTTTTATCCCATAGGGATTGTGCTAACAGGTTTTTTTTTTTAGTAATTTTATTATGACATACTTGATGCAATACTTCCCATCCATGCTAAACCTAATGTTCCATCACCAAAATCTCTTGCAGTAAATATATATGCTAAACAATATTCATCAAAATTTTCAGCTGAATGCCATGTTAATAAAACATTTGAATCAAGATATGAACGACAAATATTTGCTTCACTTAAACTTAAATTTTTTTGTTTACAATCATCAAATGTTAAAATCTAAAATAATTGATTTAAAGAAATAAATTAAATAAATTAAAATTTTATACTCGAATTCGTTTTATTCGTAACGTAAATCGATAAAGAAAATCACCATTTGATTCAAATTGTACTGAACGATATATTGCATTGGCTGCTGTTACTATTCGATATAAAAATGTTACAAGTGCATGAATAGTTGGTTCTTTTTCCTAGTTAATATTAATTAAATTATCAATGAGAATATAATCTAAAACTTTTTTTTTCTTACATTAAGTCCTTCATTTTTATAAACAATATCCCAAAGTGTTGGATCAATACGTATATAAATATAACAACAAGTACGTTCTCGTTCGGCATTGTTTGTTGTTTGACGTTTTGTTCGTGTATAATGAGATGTATAATTGAAATCATTATATTCAGTTTTTACCAATCGTTCTGTTTCTTTTTGCATTTCTTCTCGTATTTTATCCTCATTTAATCCACAAAAAGATGATGATGATGATGATGATGACAATTCTTCATCTTCATTTATTACATATCGTTTATATCGAAATGCTTCTTTACTGTTATATTTCGTTATATCAACATCAAGTGCATTATAAATTATCGATGGGCCAACATCACTTAAAGAAATATCATATTTACGAGTTGGTTCAATATGCCATGTTTCATTTGATAGTTTTATTATACCATCAAACCAATTTGAATAAAATCCACCAGTAACATATGAAGTTTCAGGATGATCTAGTAGGATTAATATAAAATCAGAGATAATTATATAAATTCAAAAGCATATGTAGATCATGAAAAGCAAATAGATCATGTATGAACCCTACTATATGTGGGACATCGAGAGTCTATGTCGTTGTGGATGTATATTCTGAGATTTTATTTTAACAATATCTAATGCTGTATTTCTACGTGACAAGAAAAAAAAACATAATTCAAGTTGTTTACTAGCTATTCTCAGAAATAAAATAATTTTATTATATAAACTTACGAGAAAAGTCTCCTAGTTGATTAATCCTTTTTGAACCGGAAACATATGCATCATATAGACCCTAACGGGTTATGAATAGCCTGAGAAGAGTTCGAGCCCATAGCTTATTGCTTGCAACATATTGCATTCTTACGGTACTTTCCAATATCATGTCGTGGTCCCCCTCCGAAACCTCAAGAGAACTCATTTTTAAGTTTCAACTTAAAGCTTTGCATAGAAACGACTCTTAACAAGAACACTTAATTGCGGAAGTATCAGGCCATTTGATTTGCTCCGGTTTCTGAAATAAGAACATCGACCTACGGGTGTATATGAACGATGTAAACGATGAACTTTTACTATGATTGTATCTTGGGATAGAAACAACGAAAATATCTGAAACATTCATTAAGACTTGTTTCTACGCAAAGTTTCAAGTCGAAATTCGAAAATCATACTTCCTAGTGTTTCTGAGGCAGAGTGCGACATTGTATTGAAAACTACCGTAAAAATGCAATATATCTCCAGCAATCAGCTATGGCTCCAAACTTTTTACGGAATATTCATAACCCATTAAGGTCTATATGATGCATATAGTCTCATCTAAAAAGGGACTAATCACTGTAATAGATAGTTTCATACAGAGCTAACAAAAGATTTTTTTTCGATGCAAACACGCTTTTCGGCTTATCTTTCGATAATACGTAATATGTTGCAAGTGAATCTAAAGTAAATCCTAGTCCAAAAAAAAACGAATTATCATTTTCATCTCTAGTCTTAATTGTTAAACAGCATATTATTAATATTTTTAGAACTTATAAATATTGAAAAGAATTCTTTACCTAACACATAACCTTCATAAAGAATAGAAGAATTAATCGGAAAAGTTGATGAACCAAGATGAATATCTGCATTTGTGGAAAAAAATTCATTTGTATTTTTCAAAATCAATGTAATATTTCTATGAAAAAAAATCGAAAAATAATTAAATCTAAATTCATTTTTATATACATACCTATGATCAAGTTCAAGAGTAAGAATACGATATGAATTATTTTCAATAATAGATCGTTTTTGTCGATGAGTATTTGTTTCATCATGTATTGCACGAATGATTTTATATGATTTAATACCAAATGATGAAAGATAATCAGCATTAACTAAAATTATTAATTAAATAAGAAAAAAACAACATTTTATATTGAATTTTTACCTAATAGAAATGGCCTTAAAATAGCCAAGAAATACAAAATAATGATCGACCGAGGCATTCATTCAAACATAATTTTTTTTCAATATCTACAAGAATAAAACACTTTTGAAGATTATCAATGCTAATTTTTTCTTTTGACATAATTAAATATCATTCATGATCGCTTATTATGTCTTAATAACAAACAGAACACGCAATTTGACTAATAAGATTTATACATATATATATATATATGTTACTAACGATCATCATGTTTATTTATCGCACTTTTAACAAAAGAAGGAGGCCGTGAAGGTGGTTGTTCAGTTTTTGGTATAGATGGTGGTGATCGAGCATTATCATTTAATTCTTCTAACCTTTTTAAACATTTAACTAAAAGAATAAAGATAATATTAATATCAAAAAAATGAATTTCATATTCTTACGTAGTACTAGTGTTGAAATAGCTAATAATGGTATACGATATAAAGCTCGCATTTATAAATTAAAACAGACGAATATCTAATCAATCAAACTTTCGAGAATTAACCACTGTGAAGCTAGCCGAACCGGATCACTTAGCCGGAATAACATAGTGATTCTATTGGATAACTAGTTAAGCAATAGATATTGTGGTATACACAAATCACCATTGAAGAGGAAAACAAAACGAACAGGATTCGAATATGGCTACCTTAGTGATGATAAAATGATATACATATGTTGAATTTTATTAGCACAAAAAAAAAAGAAACAAACAAGAACTATTTAGGAGAGGATTCGCGAGATCAGTGAGTACCACGTCCATATACGAGATACTAAATAATTGTTGCTCATTCAGCGATATAGTATCCGCAGCCATCAGTCACAAAATTTTAACTTTTATTGCCCCTCCTTTGAGAATAGTCAGGATCGACTTTTAGTACTGACATAATATCTAGCAGCTTAAGTTTTATAACGATAATATTAGTTTAAGTCGACTCTTTTTTTGAGTCGAAAAGATCCATTTTAACACAATCTCTCTTCTATTGTGTGTTGCAAAATTGGGATATTTCAAGCTGAATTTTTTATATGTTATGCAACTTTCAATTCTCTTCAAAACGGCAAATAAATATTCGAGAAAAAAAGAGTAATTAGGTCGAAACGAGACTCACATTCTAATAATTTTTTGATGGTTTTTTTATAGTTTTTCAATAGAAAAGCAACATTCATAGTAGTTTTCATTGCCACGACAAAATTATAAAACAAAATAGATACAATGTTCTGAATTAACGTCAAAAAACTGTATCGACTCACATATATTTTAGAAAAATTTTTTCTGATCAAAACTGACGTGTGGGAGATCTTGTAGTGTCGAATTTGAAAGTTGAATTCAAGTATTCAACTATCAGTTCAACTATTCAAGTATTGAAGTATTCAACTATTAAAGTATTTAACTAATCAGCTAATCAACTATTCAACTAATCAACTATTCAGCTATTCAACTATTCAAGTATTCAAATACTCAATTAGTCAACTTCTGGGATGCTACAAGCATTCCATAGGATACTATAGGTTTTGGTTGAGATGCTTTAGACATTATCTTGGATGCTACAAGAAGTATGTGAGAAGCTTGAGCAACTGTGCAGCACTGAGTGGGAATAATAGTGTACATGGAGATGTGCATGGGTTGCGACTCTTCGAGGGATGCTTCACGCTGCGACGCTGAAATAAAAGGTGTGTTAGGTGGGAAAACGCGCTTCCCCATTGAACATCCGCAGAATACTTGAGAAGTTAAAATTTGAATAGCTGAATACTTGAATTCAAGTTTCAAGTATTACATGTGTGATGAAAAATATGGCTAATTACTATTATCAAATTATGAGTTTTTCTACTTCATATAAAATTTATTTTGTTAATTAAAATTAAAGATAAAAATCTTTCAATCTTAAATTTATTATATCGATAATTTATAGCGCCATCTATAGAAAAAAATATCTCATGAAATGTGTCAATCAACTAAATTCTATTTTCTTAGATGTTTTTAATGAATAATTAAAACAATTGTGTATTTTAAAATTCAATACAAAATGATGATGACGACAACCAGTTAAGTCCATTGATTATCCAATCATTATTGAATTTAAACATGATCTGAAAAATCTTTTCATTTTTTTCTCTTCGTTATGTTCTATAAAAAAAATAATTGAAGAATATTAAATATATCTATTATTTTTTTAGATGTCATCAGCATCATTATTTGAACAATTAACCAGCAGTGTATCACCGTCTATACTGGTTATTGTTTCCGTAGCTATTTTAGCTTTATTATTAATATATACTGTTGCTTGTCGAATTTTCTTTTCATCATCATCAACATCAAAATCGAAAACATCTACTTCAAAACAACATTCAAATAAAGATAGAAAATCAAAGGAATCTAATACAACAAAAAAACAACAAGGTGATATAACATCTACGAATAAGAAAAAAAATAATAAAGTAAAAAAAAATGTACTTCCGGTTTCATCAACATCATCACCAGATACACCATCCGAAGAAAGTGAAAATGAAAAAACAACATTTGTTGCATCATCAAAAAAAGTATTTGTGGTTATTTAAAAGATTTGAATTTTGAAAAATATTTTATATTATTATTTATTTAGTCAACACCACCACCACCAAGCAAAACATCGACAGGCAAAAAAGTAGCTGTTGCTGATGAAAATAATAAGATTAGTGCTTCAACAAATATAATTAAAACATCATCAACTAAACAACAACAACAACAACAACCAGCATCTGTACGCACTGAAAATGTTGAAGGATCAGCTGTAGGACAAAATGGAGATAATAAAAACAAACAATTGAAAACTAATACTACAATTGCATCTAACAAACAAAAATCATCAGGCAAAGGTACGTTATGTATTAATAAGCGAAAAAATATATAAAAATTTGAATCCACAGACGCCAGTGGCGGATTTAGGGGGAGGGGCGCTTGGGGCGATCGCCCCGTATCGACAGAACAAAAAACCGGTTTTTTCTAGAAAACGCTTAAAATGGAGCTGAAACTACCTTTATAGAGCTTCAAAATATATTTTTTGTGAATAATCGCCTCATATTGAAATATTTCTAGATCCACCGCTGACAGACGCTAGGCAGACACCATCACAGATGACTTACAAGAGAACCTCTTCAGCTACCTCCTCCCAATTTCAATGATTTTTTTGCCTATGAATACCACACAGTGTTCTAATAAAAACTCTAAAAAGATTTGGATTCGTATTGAGATTCGCTTAAGCCATCGAATTCTTAATATGTCTATTTTCTAGAAGTCGCTGTAAGGATGTACTAAAAAAAGTGATGTCTCCAGTAAATAATGACTCCAAGCACCTACAGTTCATTTTTACTGTCTTTGTACTTCTACTGATCTGGTTTTGTAATCAGTAGTAATGATGATGAGTAATATCTGATATAGATTAACTAAAAGAGTCGAACAAGAAACTATTATACAACTAAAATTCTATTGTCATGGCTACAACAGTTTCATCTTCGCTAGATTTAAGTGACCTACAAGCGCCAGCTATTTCATTGCAATTCAACATTATATAGACAATCTTGGTGAACGATATTATGACGGTGTTATAATTGCTATTGAACACTTAGATAGTTTATCATTTACAGTTGCTAACCGAAAAAAATGACATTTTATAAATTTTTTTGCTTGTTTTTATCTCTTGACTTACGTTTGATCTATACTAGAATGTTAATATTATCCCATACAATAAAATATGTGCCTTACTATTTAGAATTTTTCGAAAGCACTTTTCGACCTTTTTACAGGCAGTCCTTGTAGGACTCCAGATTTTCGAATTTTGATCTGAAACTTTGCACATGTAGAGAACTCAACTAAACAAGCTTCCATAAAAAAAATTGAGAGATTTCGAATAAATTTTCTTCGAGCTATGAGACTTTCAAGATATAGATAGGTTTCTGTGGATATAGGGTATACAACAAGCATTTTTTTTTTGAAAACTTCATATCTCGAAGAGGCTTTGTTCAAACCTCGCGAATTGTTTCGTGATAGCCAGTCTAGTTAAATTCTCTACATGCGCAAAGTTTCAGATCAAAATTCGATAGCTTAGTCAAGTCTCAATAGGAATCCAAATCATTTTAGAATTTTTATCAGAACACTATGTAGTATCTATAGGCGAAAACTGATTGAAATCGGAAGCTAGCAGCTAAAGAGATTCTCTCATTAGCAATGTCATCTCGTTCTAATATATGAGTTACTTCCTTATTGCATTTCTTGAGGGTTAAATAAAATGATGATGACGAAATGTGCTATAGAATAAAGCAATCTCCTGCGATTAACACCATCAATTACATCGTGTTTCACATTTTAATCTCGCAAGAATTATGCTAATAGCTTTTTATTCATAGGCGACGGTAATACCAAGGTCAATGCTGGAAATTTAAAGAAAAATGAATCTGTAGCTGTTAATACAGAGACTAAACGTAACTTGACTGTTGATGGTGAAGCTGGTACTGATCAAGAAGATGAAGGACAATGGCTTACACAAGGCAGTAAACAGGTTTGTTTAAAAGAATTAAATTGAATTATGAATCAAACATTTACATCCATATTAAATTCTTATAATGTTATTGAGTATTTCTTTATTAATACCTGAAAAATCTAGATGAAATAATATAAATAGATCTCAACGATTAGAGAATGACAGAAACATATAAAATTAAAATTATTATATGAGAAATTCGAATAGTCGGAAGTTTTGTCAGCAGGACATCGTTAGAAAGTTTTGTGTTTTTTCTTTTTTTTTTTTGTATTAGGTTAATCATCGTAATCGAAATAAAGGTAAAACTGAATTATCCAATACTAATAATCAAACATTATCAAATCATAATGTTACATCCGAACAACGATCAATCCCAACAATATCAAATAGCAATATTTTATCATCAATAAATAATAATGAATTAAATGTTGAAACAACAACAACAACAACACCATTAATAAATAATTCAATATCATCAATTGAAAATCTCGAACCAATTGAAATTTGTCAATTATTACCAACAAATGAAAATCTTTATACATCTAATGATAATTGGTGGAAACAAGCATTAAATAAACAACAAACATTTTCTATTGATGATATTGGTGAATGGCCTGAACGTGAACAAGATGAACAATATATTGTTCAAATAAAACGAATTATACCTGTTAAAAAATTAAATGAAAAACAAAATTCTGATGAAGTATAATTATTGAATGAACAAAAAATAACAAAAATGATTTGTAAATTTTAGCAATTAAATTCTAATGAATCAATAAAATCTACAATAATATCTTAGTCAAAAAACGATACTTACAAATATATATCATAAAAATATAATTCAAATTGTTTTGTGTTATTATTATTTATCTATTGACTTCTTTTTGTTTTTTTTTTCTTTATCTTATTCAAATAATTCTTATTTTATTGAAATGAGGATGGTTTGTATATGTCTTTACTGAAAGAGAAATGAAAGATTTAAGTGCATGTAATCTTCGTTATATATATATATATATTCTTTGTTCTTAGTTAGAACATTTTTTCTATTTCAAAAATAATTTTACATAGATTATTGTTTGTATTGATTAGATTAAAATAAAACGAAATGTAGAAAAAAGACAATATATATTCTCGTCTGACGATTTGATGATTCTGAATCAATCATTTTTTCTTTTGTTCTATATCTTTTCTCTTACATTATTTCTGTAGTGTTGTTTTTATTTATCTTGTTACCATTCTTGTTTGTCAAAAAACCAAAGGTGAATTTTTTTTGTCTGTACGTGTTTGTCCTTCTTGGGTTTTTTTTTTTATTATTTATTACGTTGAAAAAAAAGAAAAAGTGCTCGTTCTTAATAAGTTATTAATAAAAAAAAAAAAAAAAGAAACTAAATGATTATGTAGTTGATAAAAGATGATTTATTCGATGTTTTTCATTGATCTTTAGTTCAATTTTGAATTAGTTAGAATAATCCATGATAAAAACATAAGAATATTTAGAGTAATTGTTGGTATTCTAGAATGTTAATTTTTTAATATAAATAAGAAAAAAAAATTGTTGGGTTTTTTTTGCTTACTTTGTAAATAGAGCATGAGAATGACTTGTTGGACTTGTTGGACATGTTTGATTATCAATTAATAGAAACATTTGTACACGATGATTTTTTCCATCACAAACGTAAAGATTTCCAAGATTATCAAATGTTAAAGAGTTTGGTACTGATAATTGATTGTCTGCATTGCCTCGACCTATGATTAAAATATCTTAGTTTCCTGACTAAAAGATTATATGTTTATAATATGATATAGAAAAATTTTTTTTTCTTTTTTTTGGCAATATTCTATAAATCCTGCTAATAGAAGAAATTAGACAGAGAAGGATTGATTAACTAAAGAAAACAAGACTCAGGATAGAAAACCAACTGACATAAAAACGAAAATCACAGTGTTTCTCTAATAATTAAGTTACCTGCTCCACCGGCAATCGTAGTACCAGTCAATTGGTTTGGTAACCAGCGTTGAATACGATTGTTGTCGCTATCAGCAATATAGATTATATCGGATTCTTCATCGACCCATACATAAGATGGACTTGCTAATTTTGAATTATCATCACCTGAAATACCATCTTTTGAACCAGCAATCGTAATACCTTCTTGTGAATTTCTATTCCATTTTTGAATTCGGTTATTCATCATATCAGCGACATACAATGCATCATTTAAACGATTAATATAAATACCTCTCGGAAAATAAAGTTTATCAGCAGTTTGTCCTAATTCATCTGTTCGACCAGCAACAGTTGTTTTAGTATTTGTTGTTGGTGACCATTTAAGTATTGAATGTGTTCCTGATTCTGTCATGTAAATATTTTTCTCTTTATCAAGCCATACACCTGTACATTGTTTACATTGATCACCTGTTTGTTCACCATTTAAGGCATTTTTTATCCATTTTTCAACACGATTTTCATATTGAAGTGCGACATACATAGTTAATCCATCATCATCAACATAAATAGCAGACATCGAATCTATGTTAGATGCTACAGTAACACCCATACTTGGTGCTGAATTGAGTGAAAACATTTGAATACGTCTATTGTTCGTATCAGCTATATATAATGTATTGGTTTCTCTATGAAGAAACATTCCTTGTGGTAGATAAAGTTGATTAGACGCATTGCCAGGTGAATTTGTACCAATCACTGTAATCCCTGTTGTATTCCATTTTGCACAAGAACTTACATGCACTGCTTGAATTGATAGAGACGAATAATATAAACCAAAAACTTGAATAGAAACAAAGTATTACTCAAAAGTTTATGTACATGTTATATCGTTTTCAAAAACTTACTAATATAGATGAGAATCATTCGAAATAGTTGTGTATTTGTTTTTTGTATATATAATAGAAGACTTGTAAAAATCGATGCTTTTTACACGTCCATATATTTCACATCTGATAAGAGTGTAATATCATCAAGTGATGACACAACCTCTTCTTTTTTTTTTTTTTATTGATAAGAAAATAACTCAATATACAAGTTTTAAAGCAAGCTCTTGATTCAATCATATACAACGCACTAAGAAATAAACTACAGAAGAAATACGACAAAACAGAACTAACAGATTTTTGCTTCAAATGATAGACATTGTAAAAAATATACTATAAATAACAATCAAAAACACGATTTCACATCTACAGGGTGTTTCAAAAGTCTGGTCAAAAAAGAAATGTGAATATCTCTTTAACTATTCAAGCGATTTATATGATGTTTTTATAGTTTCATTTCACATAAACTTGTCTCTAATAGATTCCTTATAAATGCAATACACAAGCCTCTCCTTTTTGAAAATACCTGTAAAATCATCATATAAAATTTTGTTTGAAATTTTTTTTTTGTGCATTTTTATTTTCAGCTTAACGAGATCTTTAACAAGCATCATGGACATGTGAAACTATTGAAGTTATTATACAACCTTGAAAAGACAATGTTACTTGTGTGATGTTGGAAAATCGAATGTTTGGACAGTTTTTTTTTTGCAGTAACATTATCAATTGAGAAAAATATTTGACTATATTTTAAGCATTTTTTTTTTTGGCCCAGAAGTAAGAAGATTATGTTAGATGCACTTCATATTATTTTCCAAGAGGTTATTGATTTCAATAGGCATTACGATCAGCTGAACATATGCAGCTCAACTTTTTTTTTTTATAGGAATATGTAGAAAATAATTTTTTGTAAGATATTTCTCAAAGATCTACTTCACTTGAAAATGAAAATCCATAATAAGATCAAAAAGATTTCAAACTAAGTTTTACATGATGGTTTTACAGATATTTTCAAAAATGATAGGTTTGTATGTTGCATTCATAAATGATCTATTAGAGAGACTAGACTTTTGAAACACCTTTTATTCTACATTTGAATAATATTCAATACTTCTATAGATCGGCGACCATGCGCGATACCAATACTCTTTGATGTGTCCTATCCATTAGATCAATTAGTGTATAGAGTGTTGTCGATCGGGATCTACAAAAATTAGTCGATACCAAAAATAGTGGAGAAATTTATAATAAAAGAACAAAAGCTTTCAGCTATATGAAAAACAAAAGAATATCAGTTTAGAAATCATCTGTAGTCCATCTAATTTTATCGGTAGTGCCATGTACAAGTAAAGTGGACGCTGACTATTTCCCAGAACATTTTTAAATGGCAAGAAAAGAAAAAATAAAGGGTGAGTGTGGATTTTGTTATAGATCTTCTCGCATCCCTTTCCCGCATACTCACAATCACACCGTAAAAATGCTTTTTTTCTTAGCTTCATCCCCACAAACTTGAAACCTTCGCGCGACTTCTGCTCGCTCGGGAGAAAAAACTAATATTCAACCGTTATGATGTGATGTTATTCATTATTTGCCTTCCAATGTTTTGGATATCAACTCACTAAAAACAATAAAATATCGATCTTTTCGACATAACATTTAATTTCTTTCTCACTAATTACATGCAAAAGAAAATTGCGCCCTCTATAAATGCTTGCTACGGTTAGTACATTTTATTATACCATTCGTATGTTATCCAACTATTCAACGTGCATCAACGCTATGATCTATTAGTTAATTCAATAAACCGAAATTTGATCATTTTTTTAATTTAAACATAGTCACTACAGTTGTCCATGTGATTCATATACAGATAGTATTGCCTGAAGTTAAATTGAATATATAAATCTTTAAACTTTTATACAGATAATGAAAAGTATTCACTTTTTTATTTATTTAAATATATTGTTTTTCAGAAATTGATTATTTTTTTCTTAAAATATTAAAAGTTCATTATGGTTGATAGAGGTAGTACTGGAACAAAACAACATTCATCTGCTATTAACAAATCATTTAATGATCAAAATCAAACTAAAGTGAGTTCAATTTCGTATTCATCTCTATTTTCTTTTTATAAATAATTTTTTGTTATTTCATAAAGATTGTTCTTCGTCGATTACCTCCTACACTTACAAGTGAACTATTTCTTGAAATAGTTTCTCCTCTTCCCGATCATGATTATTATCGTTTTTGTAAAGCTGATATAAGGTATTTTATTTTAATTAACATCTTCATTTAATAACTATTTCTTCTAGTTTTGGTCAACAATATGCTTTTTCTCGTGCTTATCTTGATATTCCTAATCGACAAGATTTAATTGTATTTACAGAAAAATTTCAAGGTTATGTTTTTCTTGATAAAAATGGTAATTTTATTTTCATTTAATCATTTTCATTATTAATTTTGATTTAATATAGGAAATGAATATATTTGTTCAGTTGAATATGCACCTAATCAAAGTCGACCTAAATCAGAACAACAATTACGTAAAGATCCTAAAGTTAATTCAATTGAACAAGGTAAATAACGAATACTTTCAGGAGAAATTGCACGAAATTTCAGTGAATTTTTTTCTCTCTTTTTAATCTTAAAAAAAAAATTTCCTCCTAGTGCCTAAAGATAGAGTATTTCAAGTTCTACGAAGTTATCGACTTTGTTTTTCATATAACTTTTGTTGGTGAAAAATGAAGCAGAAGAACACATATTTACGAGGTAACTACCACAACTGACACTCACTGTTGAAGTTTATATTGGATCCACAGACAAGTCTCAGTGAGAATATGAAAAGCCTAAAAAAGTTTCTCCCTATGGGTCTTCGCTCGTCGATTTATGACCCATTTTTAGATACTTCTTAGAAGAGTGAATAACGAACTTTTGATTCAGAACTGAAACTTTCAGGATATTCTAAGA